TTTTGGCCTCTTCGGGGCCTCCTTGGGGAGCTGTTTGGCCACTTGGAGTTATCTTGGGGCCGTCTTTGGGCTTCTTGGAACCATCTTAGGAGCCATCTCGAGCGATCTTGCGCTATCTTGAGCCATCTTGGAGCTCATCTTGGGTTCTCTGAGGCGCTCTTGGAGCCGTCTTGGGCCATCTGGGACGCTCTAACTACCCGCGGCCCCCCCCGTCCAGGTCCAGGGGAGGGGGTAGGGGGAGGGGTAAACCCCTCCCCAAGGGGGAAGAGGGAGGGGTGGAAGAGGATCTGCTCTAGACCACCTACGCCCAGAGGGCTGGTGGGACTGGATTCAAAAGGTTGGACATACCTTTTGTATTCACACGACTGCTGCATGAAGCTCTGTTTGCCGCCAACGCGTTCACCTTTACAGTGTGATGTCTCCGTGCAACGTTTTGTTTGGACGGCAACCAACAATGCTTCCTGTTTTGCCTTTTCTGGACCATTAGCAGCCTACAGAGACATCTGATTATTCCCGAGAACAGGTGATTCGCTGGGAATGCGTTGAGGCTATCACACAAGCTACTTCAGCAGCCAAGACCAATCGTGCTTTGCGTACTAGGACAACCACCATTGCCGGCCAGCACTACTACGACGAAGGAGACTTGGTCCACTATCATCGTCCCACAACTACGAAGGACGACTGGGGAGGCTGGAATGGCCCTTTCCCGGTTGTACGGGGCGATCCCAACAGGGGTCAAGTCATTTTTCGAGCGGGATACCGCGACGTACAAGTTCAAAACGGTGACGCGCGACAATCATTATACATCGAAGGTTTGATAGCCCGTGAGATTGGCTCTGACAGCGCTGCGCTGCGGACAGTGTTGACATTTGTTGCCAGTCTACCTGCGGGGAGACCTGCCATGACGTTCGGTTATGTCCCGACCAAAAAGGGAACGCTTCAGATGACAAGTGCGAGCCGGCTTTCTTCTAGAGTCCATTTAGCTCTACAGTGCCTTATCAGGGAATTCTTTCGTATCGAGAATGTAGTTTCTGTCGGGCTAGCTAAGGGTATCCACAAGCTACCTCCGGTGGCTTATGCTGACAGCTGCACGTTGGTACAGTATGACAAAGACGTGAACCCAGGCTTCCATTACCATGAAGCCGCAGGCACTGCCCTGCATATATATATATATATATATATATATATGATATAACTGGATCAGCACATCCGAGGATCATTGAATGCCTAAAGTCTACTAAACCTCAATCGGGCTTCGACCAAGACATGACGAAGTTTGAGGAACTGGCCGACGCACCGACGCAAGACAACAACGCCAGATATGCCTCAGAAGCCGAACCACCACAGGAGGATGGACGGCTCTCGGCGATCTACGAGAAATCAGAAGCGGACCCTGAGGCGCATATTATGGAGGTGTGGTACACAGAGATACATGAAGAAAGCGAACTAGTGGAAGCAACTCTATTATGACCTCTACCACACATATGATCACTGACAACAGCGCGCTGGTCACGGTAGCTGAAGAACAGCCAGGGCACCGGCCCGCGTGGGGTCATCCACGCAGTTCCGACATCGAGGAAACGTATCATGTCCCACTATGTTCCACGGGCGAAGGCCATAGTTACGGATTAGATTCGGACGAAAGCGGTCCGTCTATAAGACTCTGCTTTACTGCAGAAATGTCAAAGGTAGTCTTATCCGAACATCAGCGTAGGATACAAGCGTTCGACCGCGTGACCACCATGCGAGTGTATGTAACCGCCGCCGCAGAGCGAGCTGCGGTCGCCAGGGGGGACGACCTCCCGCGAAGGCCGACATCCAGGCGAACCCAGTTAAAGTATTAGAGGCTGTATAACACGAATTCAAGACATGGTTTGAAAACAAGTGCTTAAAGGTGCAAGGTATGCCCAAAGCGTCAAACATCATGCCTTCGAGGTACGTGTATAAGTGGAAGTTCGTGAAGAACGAAAAGGGCGAGGTGGAACGCGCCATTGGACTACGCCTGGTACTTCGGGTTTTCATGGACCTCGAGGCTGTCGGCGTGGAAACATTCTCAGGAACAGCGCGGCGGTCAAGTCAGCGATTCTTCGCAAGCGCGGCAGCGTGTAAGAAGCAATGGGTCATTGCTTCCCTCGACATCACCATGGCTCTCCTGGAAGTGTTTACCTGCCAGGAACTTGCTGAGGCAACCGGTGAAAGGGAACGCGTGGCGCGCGTTACCTTGCCGCCTGGGTTTGCATCGGTGCTTCGGCCCCTCCCAGGATTCGAGCACTACGATGAGTCGAAGCGCTGCTTGCAGCGCCTCAAGCCAGACACCGGCACCAAGGATGCGCCAAGAGCCTTCTCAGTGAATCTCAGAAGGACCACGAGAGGCTTTAGTTTCAGACCCACGTGCTACGACGAGGAGTTGGAGACGAGCAGCCACCTACTCACAGCCAAACATGTTTTGATATCAATATGGCTGGCACTGAGGACGCCATCGGCAGGTGCGTCGAGGATACTTTTGGTAAGTGTAAACTTAACAAACACACATCTACCAGTTGTGCTCTGAGATGCACAAAGGATGGGGGCGGTGCTGTTTCGCTGGACCAAACAGCTCCGTCCTATACAACACCCTGAACTTACAGGCGCAAGTGCCGACGCCAAAACACTAAATCTGGTCGCTGACATGTTTGTCAGCCTCAGAGGCGCTTTGGCTTACGCATTAATCACACAGGTGTGGTTGATGGTGTACGTGGTGTCTCTACAACGCGTCCAAGAACCGACCAATATACAGGGGCGACGACTGAACGCGATTACCAGGAAGATGCAGGCCTGCCCTAAGAAGATCGTCGATCGATCGATGACTCCAACCGGCGAAGTTGACCTGCATAGCAACTCCGGCGATCGACGCCTGAGTGGAGATGCGCCGATGACGAGGTCGTCGAAGGCTATGGTATTCGCGGGGCAAACCTGCTTCGACGTGGGAACACGCCAACTGGCGCGCCTGTCGTCCATCTGATCGATGCGCATTGCAAGTCTCATCGCTTGCAGGCCCGCTCAAGCTATTCAGCTGAAGCACCTAGCAACAGCCCACAACTTGGAGGACTGCTATCCCACGATCGTTATTCTGCACGAGCTCCACGCAGGGCCACTGGCACCAACTCAGTAGAAGGACCTACTGGAGATGGATGGCCTGAGCATTCAGGTCACTTTGACCATAGATGCTGAATGTGTCTTCAAGTCCTTGTCCAGCAAATACCTGAAGAAGCCGACTGGGCGTACTCTTTCGGGACACATCAGTTGAATGCGACAGATGATGGAGCGAGGAATCGTGCATAGCATCCAGTGTTGTGACATTCGCGATATGACCGCTTGACAGAGATATGCTCCTACAGGTCATGGGAGAAAACGTCATACTCCGTGTCGGGCCGGCCAAACAACATCGTCTGAGGCCGCCTGAGTAACACTCGCTTATACAGCGAGTTGCTCGCAAGGCAACTTGCGCGCAAGGAAACTTGCGCGCACGAGCCCGCCTTTTGCTGCCTCTTGTTTAGATAGCGTTTACTGTATAGGGGCGGCGGACTCACGCTTCGTCTCCCTCCCCCCCGACTCAAAAGTGAGCTGGGTCAAGGGCGAGAGATGGCGAGCGTTTGTCCGTGGCCGCTTGGGCTCACTCGGCCGGCCGCCAACGTGTGATTGCGCCTCATTTCGAGGCGTACTATTTGCCATCGAGACCGGAAACATCCTTCGCTTGAGATGGCCCGTCGCTCCCGCGACGACCTCCTCCGACTGGGACTATCGTTGCTACGGTACACCAGAGCTGGAGCTGCACTTCGCCTACGGCGAAGCTTTTGGTCGGGCCTCTCGGCCTCCTTCAAACTGCTCCACGATTGGAGTTCCGTTGGCTTCCAGCCCCTCGATTCTTATCCGATGGTTCCCTATGCAATGCCATCACCGTTTCGGAGGACGCTCACTGTTGAACGATCTACTCATAGATTTTTGTGTCCGATCAGCGTTGCGTTTCGCTGGTCACCTGGGCCAGGGGAGATGCACTGGCGCAGGTAGCCATGCTTCTCTCGGGCTCCTCTCGGGTTTCTGCGAAGCCCATCGGGCCACGCTTGGACCTAAGAGTGTAACCGCGGGATCCCTCCTACCTCCGGGTGCTCTTCCACAAAAGGGAGCCATAAGGAAATCAGGAGCGGGGAGGAGGAGGAGAAGGAGGGTTTTCCTTCAGACTTCCTGGGCGTGTACGTTTCGGTGGTGATTCACAGGGTTTCTACATTTCAGCCTATGTTTCTGATGGGTCGTTCCTACTTAGGCGCTCTGGGAAAGCTGATCTTGTTTCAAGGTCGCCCATGCCACTTGCTGCAGTGCGCCCTGACAGCTTGCACTGTCGTTTCGTCGCCTCGTCGAACAAGCGTTCGTGTGGATCAGGCGCGCGGCACTCGCCGTTTGTCTGGGGAGCACGTTGCCCCAGGGTCACGTCTACGGGGCCCGCTGTCAGGACCCAGAGATTGTGCAAAGTTTTCTGTCGTAGTGAAGAAGGTTCAAAGAACTACGCGTTGCTATAAACCGAGGTCCGCGTCGACACGACGGGAATCAGCTGTTGGTGCAAGTAATGCGTATCTAGGAGTATGGAGGGACATGGTGAGGACGCAGAGAAGGAGAGGAGGAGATGCAAGGGGAGGAGTCCTCTGGGAGGAGGGCGAGAAAGAGGATGAAGAACAGGGGGGAAGAGACGGAACAGCACGAGGAGAAGGGGGATGAGTAGGAGAGGTAGGGTGGTGAGAACGAGGATGATTATGTTGATGATGAGAAGGAGGAGGAGGAGGAGGAGGAGGAGGAGGACGAGGAGGTAAGGAGTATGACGAAGAGGATCAGGAGGAGGTAAGGCGGAGGAGGTTGAGGAGGAAGAGGAGGAGGAGGAGGACGAACACGACGATGATGAGGATGGGACGCGAGGACCCGCGTGGCGCCAGGCGAGGCCGCGGCTCCCGAGCGTACCCCGGTGTGCCAAGGATCAGACCGCGGAATTGGCCCTCGGCCCACCTGGAGGCGATGACAAGGACAACCCCGGGGTGGCGGCGGACTTTTTGAACAGCCAGGCCAGTTGCTCATGGTGCAGCTGACTTCTGGGGGCCGTCTAGGGAGGCTTGGGAGGTCTTGTAAAGTGAATCGGAACAACTCGTGAGCTCAATAGGTTTGATACGTTTTGAAAGGCAGGGAAGGACCGGGGTTGGCGGGCACGGGGAGGGCCAGGATTCAGCCAGATCGCGGCGAAAGGGAGATGAGCTGAGCTCAAGAGGTGGTGAGGGGAAACGAGAGGTCGGGAGAGAAGTACAGTGAGGGAGAGATAGACATTGAGGGAGAGAGAGAGAGAGAGAGAGAGAGTGAAATAGAGTGAGAGCGAGAGAGAGTGAGAAAACATGGAAGAGAGAAACAGTGGAGGGAAGCGAGAGGGGAGTAGAAGGAGAGGCGGCAGGGAAGGGGGACGAGATATGCACGGCCAGGGGGGTAGGGAGAGGCGGAGAGGGAAACGAATACTGATGGATAGTATGCGGATGCGGATGAGAAGGATGATGGTGAAGGGCGAGAAGGAATGGATGATGAGGATAACGAGCGAGGTATGTATAGATGACGCGAGTGCTACAAAATAGGCAGAGTGTGAAATCAGCCCAACACAGAAAGAGGGAGAGAGAGAGAGAGAGCCAATGGGTTGCCGAATTGAAAGGACATGGGAAGGACATGATGGATGGCATGTGGATCACGATGGTAAGTATAAGAGGTGAGGTGAGGGTGCGAATCAATGGCTGATAAGGATGATGGGTCAGTAATGTATCAAGTGAGTGCTACACAATAGGCATATCGTGACAGCAACTCGGCAGATATAGCCTATGGTTCGGAACCCTGGGATACTTTGAGAATTTCCTTACTTCCCTGCGGAAGAGTCTGGCCGCCGCCGCCGAGAGAGCGGGGGGGGAGGACGAATAGGATAATGCCAAGTGGGGGAGAGGAGGTGGGGGCGGGGGAAAACTAAGAATTTGTTTGAGCACGACCGCTACGCTGAATGCTTAACGCACACTGAAAGTGTCAGAAAACAAAGTGGCTCCGTTTATTTTCGGGTGGAGTCCCCTCCAAATTCTGGGCCAACTAGCCTGGTTGTGCTTGCTCTTTCCCGTCCGAGGGTCGCAACGAGGGCCCGCACACTGCTCACCGAACTTGGCCAGGCGAGCTCCAGGCGAATAGGATTTGCATGTTGCGCACACGACTACGAGTGAGTCTTTCGAACAGTCAAACATGAGGCACTTGTCATTCCCTCAAGGTTTGGACACAGCTCCTAGGGGTCTACTTGCAGAGTCCTGGGGGGAGGTGGGGGGGTCGAGGGCCTCGCTTCGGGAGGAACGCAAACACACCCCACACTGCCAAAAACGTTGGCATACAGACGTCGGCACCATCCACGGGGAGACCTCCCGAGGAACCTTGACATAATTAGAGTGCCATTCCACCCCCGACAAGTCGATGCGGAGCCAGAGGGGCAAAAGAGAGGCAGCAAGGCGACAACGTACTGAACGCACTGGATAGTTCAGCCGACGTAGGCGATCCTCTCCTCCGAGGGCTCGGGGTGCATTTCGGCACCAAGCTGTGCTTTACACGGTTAGCCGCGTCGTTCCCGACGCCTCTGAATCGCTCGGCCTCGTCGGTGTCAAAATCATCGAGGGCGGGTGCGCGCGAGCCTTCTCACACCCGAGAATATCCCTGCAACCATAAGAAATACCATGCACCACCAGCCCCGCATACGGACTGGAAGGCAGACCTTGCATGCTGACAACGTTAGCACAGTCAGAATAAAGCTGAGTGGGGCCTGACGCGACGACGCCGGCCATCGCATAGGCCGTGAACTCGCCAACCTGCGGAGTCTGAGGCCAACTGTCCCAGTCTGGGCCCCAGGCCATCGAGAGCAAGTGGCCAGCCGGCCCAAGCATTGCTAGACCCCAGCCTGCCCTGTTGGACGCGCGCACCGCTTTCCGCGTGCACGACCCAAGGGTGGGGCATCCAAGCCTTCGGCCTCGAAGCCGTCAGGGAAAAACCTGAAGCGCACTCCATCGCCCCCGCCCCCATGGTCCCGTCGCCCCCCCCTTTCCTCTTCTCCCCCTGCTCCGCCGCCCCCCCCCGGCCGCAGGCGATACAGGCGCGTGCCCTGGTTCAGGCGTTGGCCAACCCAGACATCCACAGCTGCGTCTCCGAGCTCTGGGACGAGCAGGACACTGAGCGGCGAAGAGACTCCTCTTTATAATCCGCCTCCACCTCTTCGTGTCCCTTGGCGAGAAGCGGGGGTGCACACGGACAGCCCCCCAGGTAGTTCCGTCTTGCCTCAACGGGTGCCCAGGGTAGTCTGTTGCGGTCTCGGCACCCCTGCACAACCTCGGGCGGCGCTCCTTGGGCGCTCCGCGCTGCAGGTTTGGAGTGTTGAGCTCCCTGGACAAACAGGGGGATTGTGTGTTTTGAGACATCCAGCCTCGAAGGCATCGGAGCGAATTCCAGTAATATTACACATGTTAAGTATACATGTCGATATGTGAAGGCACTGTTCGAAGCGCGTGCGCATGCAAGGTACACCGATGCAGTCCACGCCGTCGCTGAGGCAACACTCGGGTGCACTCCGCTGTGAGGATAAGCGGGTACACGACATATAGTGATGTCCGAGTCGGGTAGAAGCCGCCACAGCACGCTCTGTCTCCCGTCCTATGTGCGCCTCTCCAGTGTGCATGCTAATATTGAGATTCGCAGTGAGCGGAGAAGGATTCCAGAGGATGAGTCATAAGGTGCGAGTGATGCAGATTATGCTGACGATGATGATCTTGAGCATGGTCTTGGTGATGATGAGGAGGAAGGTTGAGACAATGCATACGCAGTAGCAGCACAACCAGCAGCATTACATAGTGACATATGGTTATGCTAAAGGCGCGTCGAGCGAATACTGGTATAGATGATGGAGAACGCGACGTCAGCTGTGCAGGCGAGAGTGATGATGATCATGATGCTGGCGCCGATGATTGTGAGATGGACCTTTCTCATGCTGGTGACGGCGATAATGGCGACGATGATGTTGATGGTGGTGGTGTTAGCAATGATGAGAATTATAATGATGATGGTGATGATGATCTGATGTTGACGATGGTATGATGCGGCTGCTGATGATGATGATGATGCTGATGGAGATGATGGTCGCGATGCTGGTTGCTGAAGGCGTCAGAGGCGACCTGGTGATTACGATGGGGAGACTATCGGCAAGGACGAAGAATGGGAAGGAGGGGGAATAATATGAGGAAGGACACTTGGAAGAGGAATACTGGCAGAGGCCGCAATAGTATACGTATACGACACACTTCGTGTGATACGGAAGTTTGGGGGATCGGACAACATGAGGACAACTGTGATTATTGTGATGGTGGCGATGCTGGTGATGAGATCACGGTTGGCGACGATGCAAGACGACGATATTGACTACAATGCTTGATGGCAATGCTTCTCCGGTTATCTTCGATCTCACCACCTCCATACGATCGGGGCATTATCGCCGCACCGCCGTACCATCGGGACTCCATCGGGGCACCGTGGGGACACTACGGGGGCACCATGGGGACACAAATCGAAACGCCAACCGCTATAACACTAAGATGCCACCAGGACACCATCGGAATATAAATCGGGGCTCCTATCGGGACACGACTGGGACTCCATCGAGACACCATCGAAACACCACTGGGGCACCATCAGGACACCAATCGGGACTCCAATCGGTGCACCCACGGGACACCACCATGGGACACCAATCGGCGCACCAATCGGGGCACCGACGGGACATCGACCGGAGACCGACGGGATACCGACGGCAGGGCACCGTGACACCGACGGCGGGACACCGACGAGACACCGACGGCGGGACACCGACGGGACACCGACGGGGCACCGACGGGACACCGACGGGACACCACGGCGGGACACCGACGGGACACCACGGCGGGACACCGACGGGACACCGACGGGACACCGACGGGATACAGACGGGACACCGACGGGATACAGACGGGCCACCGACGGGACACCACGGCGGGACACCGACGGGCCGCCGCCCGCGGACACCGATGAGACATCGACGGGACACCACGGCGGGACGCTGCGGCGGGACACCCTTCGCCACGCTGGCCCACTGGAGGGGCGGTCTTTTGTCTTGACCCGCCCGCCCGCCCACGCAGCTTCGCCTCGCTCGCACGCACGACACGATCCCGAGATCGAAATTGACTTCCCAGTGGAGGGCTGCTCCACTTCGATACCACCCCCCAACCTGCGATGCAGGAGGGTGTGGAGGTGGGGAAGAAGGGAGGAGATGGGGGCTTTGACGGCCCTGAACCGTGCCAGAGAACCATTCCTGGGATGTCGACACCGCGAATTAGCGAAACTGTTGCGCCCCGACAATCTTGAGTCTTTCCAGGACACCATGTCTGAAACGGTAACCATGATAGCCAATGCAACCCTTGCGAAGGTTGAAGCGAATGCGCGCGGCGCTAATGCTAGAGCCCCATTGTGGAAAAAACGAAACCGCCCTCAACCCGTGAAGGTCTGGCAACTTTTGGGATAAGGAATTTCCGCGGCGCTAAGGCGAAAGCCACATCTTGAAAACGACGCACTTTCAATCCATGAAACTGAGCAAATGTTTGAAACGAATGTGAGAGCCACAATTGGGAAACGGCCCGCCCTCAATCCGTAAAGCGCGTTTTTTACAACGCATGTGCGGGGCGCAAAGGCTATAGCCACAGTGTGAAAACGACCCGCCCTCAATCCGTGAAGCACTTGCAGATGTTCGAAAGGAACGTGCGCGGCGCTAATGCTAGAGCCGCATTTTGAGAGCCACTCGCCCTCAACCCGCCCTTGCAACTTGCTGAAACGAGTGTGCGCGGCGCTCAGGTCAGAGCCACATGTTGGAAATGGCCCGCCCTCAAGCTGCGAAGCTCTTGATAATGTTTAAGACGAATATGCGCGGCGCAAATGCGAGAACCACAGTTTGAAAAAACTTCGCCCTCACTCCGTGAAGTGCTTACGATGTTTTACAACGAATGTGTGCGACGGAAAGGTGGGAACCACATTTTGCGAGCCGCCCGCCCTCAATCCGTTCAACTATTGTAGTGCTTAAAAGCGAATGTTTTCGGCGCTAAGGCGAGAACCACAGTTCGGAAACGACCCACCCTCCATCCGTGAAGCTGCTGCCACTTTCTAAGTTTCAGGACCACAAGCGGAGAGGACGTCTCAAGCGAAACGCCCCGCCCGCCCTTTCGACCGGCCTCGGGGTGCGATGGGGAGGACTTATCTATAATGAGCAGAAATTGAAAAGGCGGAGGGCGAGGAGGAGAAGGAGGGAGAGAAGGAGAGGCCAACGGTGAGGAGGAGGAGGAGGAAGGAGGAGGAGGAGGAGGAGGAGGAGGCGCAGGGATAAGATGAGACAAGGGATGCGAATGAGGGAGATGAGGACGGGGGAGCGGAGGATGGCGGAGAAATGCAGCAAACAAGTTTGACTTTGAGTCCCCCCAAAGGAAAACAACCCCTCGATCGCCATCATGACGGCGCCGCCGGCTTAAACACGTCGTCTGTTCATTCGCTATATTTCGATATGATTTCTCATCCTCCTGCTCGCCGTCTTTTTCTGCCTCCTCGCCCCCGTCATCTCACCCACCCTGGTCCTTGTCCCCTCCCTGCTCTGCTGCTTCTCCTCATCTGCCTCTTCCCCTTGCAAACACCACTACGTAGACTTTCGCACCGTCGCATTTACACAGGACTGCCTGGAAGCCCATTTGGTCATTGCGGGGCGATTTTCGAGGCCTCCTGGACGGTCTCGGACAGCCAGAAGGCATCATGAGGGTGTTCTTTTGGGCCGTTTTTCGGGCGTCTGGTTGGTGCCTGGGGCCGCGTGGGGCTCTCGTGGGCTGGGAGACCCCTCTGGGCTCCAGGGGTCTTGGGGATCTTGGGGACAAGAGGGGGGCTCCAGGGCCGTCCTGGGGCGCTTTCGGGCGATCCGCGTGTGTCCTGGCCCTCGTCGGGCCACCTTCGGGTGCTCGTGGGCTCTTAGTCCTTGGTGGCCCCTTGGCCTGTACCGGTGCTGTCTGGCGCCATCGGGCCACCTCGTGGGGGCGAGGTGCCCTTACGGGCCGCTCACCGGGAGCCATCTGGACTACCAGATCCCAAACCCCCTTCCAGTGCTTCCTTTTGTCCTTCCTTCTCGGAGGCGGGCCGACGCCCGACCCGGCTTCTACTGCCATCTCACTTCATGTTGCTACTTGCTTCGTTCGGATGGCCTGTCGGCGAGGTCCCTGGCTTTAATGACTCATACGAACGCGTGCGTCTGTAATTGGAACTCCTGACGCGCGTTACAGAAGAAAGCGACTCACATGACAACACTTGGTGTGTTGGCTAGCGTGGGCCCCAACCAATGGCGCAAGTCCAGGTGGAGCAATCAACGTGGTGCAATCTAGGCATTGCAACCCACGCAGTGCGGTTTATGTATTGCAATGAAGAGCAATGCGCATCAATGCGATGCACAGCAACGCAATGCAAAGCAACGCCTGGCCATGCAAAGCCATACGAAGCAATGCCACGCAATGCACATCAATGCAACACGCTGCAAATCAAGGCAAAGCGTTCCAGCGCGATGCAAAGCAATGCAAAGCAATGAAACGCACTGCAAAACAAGTGTAAAGCAATGCGGAGCAATGCAGCGCAATGCAAAGCAAAGCAGTGCAATGCAATGCAATGAAATGCAGTGCAATGCAATGCGGTTGCAATGTTGTGCAATGCGATTGCAATGCAAGGTGGTTACAATGCAATGCTATTGCATTGTAATTAAACTGTGATTGCAATGCAATGCGAAAGCAAGACAGTGCGATTCAACACTGTAAAGCAACGCAAAGCAGGTCAACGCAATTCAACGCAATGCAACTCAATGCAACGCCGTGCAAACCAATGCAAAGCAATCCAAAGCAATGCACCGCAAAGCAAAGCACTGCAATGCAATGCGAATGCACTGCGAATCAATGCACAGCAATGCAACGCATTTCGAAGCAATGAAACGCATGGCAAAGCATTACGCAATGCCCTGCAATGCCACGCACAGCATGACAATGCAAAGGGATGCAACGCAATGCCAAGCACTGCAATGCAGTGCGATGGCAAAACAGTGCGATTGCAATGCAATGCAAAGTGATGCAAGCGTGGCACAGCGATGCCAAACGATACAAGGCAATGCAAAGCACTGCCAAGCCATGCAGAGCACTGCAAAGCACGGCATAGCAATGCAAAGCAGTGCAAAGCAATGCGCAGCAGTGCAAAACAATGCAGTGCACTGTAACGTAATGCGAAGAATGGCATAGCACGGCATCGACATGCAACGCAATGCGCAGCAATGCAAGACCGGACGACGGGCGGAGACGAGGCGGCGACGGGGCGGCGACGGGGCGGAGACGGCAACGACATAGCCGCCAGACCGACCCTCAGGCCCAGACGACGAGGCGGGGACGGGGTGGCGACGGGGCGGCGACGACGACGACATAGCCGCCAGACCGACCCCCAGGCCCAGATGACGGGCGGCGAAGGGGCGGGGACGGGGCGGAGACGGCGACTACATAGCCGCCAGGCCTACCCCAACGCACAGATCCTGATTCCGTATTACAGAAGCACAGGTTGGGGATTCTCTCTCTCTCTCTCTCTCTTGCTCTCTCTCTCTCTCTCTATATATATATATATCTCCATCTATATACACATAACAATTATTTTTATTTATTCATATATATATATGCACAAGTGGCACGTGTGTGCCCAGGCTCATACAAAAAACTGAAGGGGCGTTTGAAGCAGGAGTGAAATGCAACATCGAAGTCGCACTCGAGCGCAAGTGGGGTTGCCACACCTTGCGATGTGTGTACCAGGGCCCCCAGGAAGCCTTAGGAGGCCCGACTTGGATACCAGAAGAGGCTCCAGGAGGCCCCAGGATTGTGAGTATTGTGCGTGCGTGTGTGTGTGTGTGTGTATGTGTGTGTGTGTGTTTGTGATGTATGCTTCGTGTGGTGCGTGCTTTTTGTGTGTTGTAGGTGTTGTGTGTGTGTGTTATGTTATGTTTGTCTAGCGTGTGATGTGTTGGGCGTGATTTGTGTCTCTGTGTGCATGTAGTTCTGAAGCCCCAGGAGGCCCCAGGAGGCCCCAGGCGGCCTCAGGAGGCCCCAGGAGACCCCAGGAGGCTTCAGGAGGCCCCAAGAGGCTCCAGGAGGCCGCAGGAGGCCCCAGGAGGCCCCAGGAGGTTTCAGGACACCCCCAGGAGGCTCCGAGGCGGGGTCTGGGGTGCCAGAAGGTTCAGAAGGCCCAGGAGGCCCCAGGAGGTTCCAGGAGGCCCCCAGGAGGCTCCGAGGCGGGGTCTGGGGCTCGATTTTGGAAGGATTTTTCAAGCGAAACCGCCATTCACTGAGAATCGGGGTCACAATTATTGACATTACCATGTGTCTTTGAAGGTTTTATGTTAAAATGTTGAATTTCCCATGTGTTTGTGGACCCTGACGTCGCGATCTGCGTGAGGGGTGCCACCGATTTTCAGAATGTCGAGGATGTCCCGAGCGAAACGCCCAGAAAAATCGCGGACACGTGCGCATTAATCGCCTCTGAGCTCTACTCCCTCGGAGAGGTGCGTATGATAATATATATATATATATATACATATACATATACATATACATATACACATTCATTTATCTATTAGTATACAGTTATGTGCATATATACACAACAGCGTACAGAGTCCGGGGACCCGCCTATAGCGCCGTTTTAGGCCATCTTGAGGCCATCTTGGGCCGTCTTGGGGGCATTTTCGGGTCAGTTTAGCCGTCTTGACGGCCATCTTGGGCGTCTTGGAGGCATCTTCGAGGCCATCTTGGCCGTCTTGGAGGCCATCGTGGGCGTCTTGGGGACCTCTTGGGCCGTCTTGGGGCCTTCTTGGGGCCCTCTTTGGGGCCTCTTGGGCCGTCTTGGGGCCTTTTTGGGGCCGTCTTGGGGGCCTCTCGGGCCGTCCTGGGGCCGTCTTGGAGGCTCCTTAGGCACTCTTGGGGCGATCTTGATGGCCTTTTGGGCAGTCTTGGGCCGTCGGGATCCGAAAAGGAGCAAAAGCGAATTTCCTTCGAAAACCGATGCAACATCCATGATTTTGACCTCTTCGGGCCGTCCTTGAGGAGCCCGGAGGACCTCTTCGAGGCCTCTTGGGCCGTCTTGGAGGCCTCTTGGAGGCCTCTTGGTCCATCTTGGGCCGTTTTGGAGGCATCTTGGGGCCATCTGAGCCGTCTTGGAGGCCATCTTGGCCGTCTTCGACGCATCTTGGAGGCCATCTTGGGCAATCTTGACCGTCTTGGACGCGACAGGGGGAACCACTTGGGCATTTTCGGCAACCTTTCGGGTGGCCGGCGGGACTGGCCGAAGCCACAGGGGGAGTTCTTTTGGCAAAAGAACCAAAGCCAAAACCTAAAGGGTCTATCATGCCAGGCACCCCTGCGATGAATCGACAGGGGGCACAAAGACGCCTACGGCGAACCGCCGCCCCCTGCCCCTTTGGAAGCGCCTCTGTGGCCGACAGCTGAACCAGAGCTTGGCCCATCTATCGGGCCAGTTGTTCCCCGAGTCGGTTTGGAAAGACTTCGGGGAACGCGTGGGGGAGCAAGAAGAGGAGGAGGGGGAGGATGAGGAAAATTGAGGAGGAGGGGGAGGTGAAGGAGGAGCCCTCTTGGGCGCCTCTTGGGGCACTCTTGGGGCCTCCTGGGAGCTTCCTGGGGGCCTCTTGGAGGGTTTGGGGGGCCTTTGGGTTTTTTTGGGGGCCTCTTTGGCAGTCTTAGGGCGTTCCTGGCTTGTCTGACGCCGTCGGAAGCCGTCTTGGGGACCTGTCTGAGTCGTCCTGGGGCCCTCTTGGGGCATATCAGGGGCTCTTCGAGGCCATGTTGGGCGTCTTGGAGGCCTCTTGGGCCGTTTGGGGCCCTCTTAGGGCCGTCTTGGGGGCAGGTTGCGCCGTCATGAAGCCATCTTTGCAGCTCACAGCCCAGAGCCTGTCTGACCAGAGCCTATTTTCGACAGATGGCCTCAAGAGGCCGAGTGTGAGCTCCTATGTACACTCAGGCTCCACAGGGCCCCCCTTTTATGCAAGTATGCGTTCCGCGGCGTATCGTGCTTCCTGCTCTTTATTTGCAGCCGAGCCATGCTGAATGGTCTCCCCGAGGGCCCCTGAAGAGCCCCAAGCCCCAGAGGCTCATTATAAGCGTTCCACACGTTTCCCAACGTCGTTTCTGCCGAAACCGTCTTGGCTCAAACTTTGCAGCGACACATGTCGCTGGACTTCTGGTGTGCGCCTCCGAGGTGCAAGATTGCGAGCTGGCTCGCAACAGTAAACAGCTCCCTTCTATCACCATCGGCGAGCAGCCTCGCGCTTCCCACTGCCCGCGCTATCAAGACATTACCATCGAGAGTTACCAACGCATCGGCAGGAGAGCAGAGGAGAGCAGTACCCAAGGATTCAGCAGAAGGCAGTGGCTCTAGCCGGACCATTGCATGGCAGCGGAGCAGTACGCACCACGGGCGACGGATTCACGGACCAGAGTATTCTACAGAGCCGTGGCGGAAGTTCACCATGGCGACGATATCGTACCCAAATGGAATGGGTACCTCACCACGCTAGACGACTACGCGAGAGACGTCAAAGCTTATATCAGAGGGACCCGTCGTGACGAAAGATACGTGTGCGGACCCAGAGTATGGCGACGACTGGAGGGGCGAGCTAGACAGGCCGCCCAGGATGTCGACCTGGATCGCATCGAGAGAGACGACGGCGCCACAGACTTGGTCAGACACGTTCGGTTCGTGCTAAGCTCGGTGCTCAGCCCATCCAGGATGCCGGCAAGTACCTGCCCAGATGGATCTTCGACGTTCGACGCGACGCCGGGGAGCCGATGCCGAGCTACAGTAGCAGAGATGACGAGGCCTATCTCGATGAGGTCGCGGGTTTCGACACCGAATATTTCAAGAGGCAGGGACGTCAGCGGCTCTCCCAAGAAGGCCAAGGACTGGGACGCACTCTACACTGATCTGAATTGGTTTCTCTAGAAGATCGAGCTCGAGGGCCCCGAGGATGCCGCTGAGAAGGCCGGGGAGCTGAATTACAAGCTCCGGGTGTTTGTCAAGACGGGTCTCGAGGAGATCCCAGAGCATCCTGATGTCGGAACCGATCTCAATCGGGCGATTTATCTGGACCAGCTGCGAGGATGTTTGCTACTGCGCGGATCCCGACTGTCCCCGACGGAGAGCAGCGGTGATTATCCCAGTGAAGGGTAAGTTCGACTACGACAGCATTGGAGAGCAGCTCCGAGTCGTCCTGACCAGACGACGAGCTGGCGAGTCGCGACAAGAAGCAGGGCAAGGATCGCCGTCGCCGGGGCCAGGGCGAAGACGATGACGAGGTCGGGGACGGCTACGGATACTGCGGCGAGCCGGGGGCCTCCTATGACACCCAGCCTGGGGAGGACACCGAGGATCTCGAGGAGCCTTTCTACAGCGCCCAGGAGATCGAGGAGGCGGAGACGGCCGTCGCCGCGGAGCAGAGGAGCTTCGAGGAAGCTCGGGACATCCTACGACGAGTGACGACAGCGCGGAAGTTCTACCCAGTGGATGAGGAAAAGAAGCGCACGACACGCGAGTAGAAGTCTCACGGGCCACCGACAGCAGCGAGAGGCTTCGGGTCTTCCAGAGGAAGGGGCCGAGGTCACGGTCAGCGACGTGCTCGACCAAGCTCTAGAAGCAGTGACCGCCCCTGCCCAACCAGGAATGGCCCTTGTCTGAAGCGTGGCGGCAATCATGGGACGCAGGGCCATGAGGGCCGATCTCCATCAAATGGCAGTCGCGGAGATCGAGACCGTCCGAAGAAGGGTTTCAGCGTCTTCATCTTCTTCCACGCACGCCCAGACGCGGGGGTGCAGCCCCCGGGCCGACTCAGCGAGCTGGAGCTGGCACCTCGCCAGGTGACCGCGCCCATCTGGGCGACCTGGGAGCAGGGCGAAGAGTGGATGCTGATGATTGTGAAGCAGTCCGCCTCCAAGGGTTTCGGCATCCTGGACATTGGCGCCACCTCCAACATCGTGGGCATTGAGGCTGTCAAGAAGCTACGGGGCATAATCTACGAACAGACGGGCGACAACACCAAGATGGACGTCAACCAGAAGTCGACCTGCATCTTTGGCGACGGCAGCTCCAGGACCTGCTCCGGCCGCGCGACCTTTCCCCTGGAGATCGCCGGTGTGGACGGCGAGCTCGAGATCAACATGCTCGACGCGGATGCACCGCTTTGGAGTGGGTGTCACGAGCCGCCTGGAAGTCGCGGTCGATTGCGAGGCGCGCGCTGTGTTCTTTGAGAAGCTCGGACGCCGAGCCAAGCTGCTCGCCCGTCCGAGCGGGCACCATGCGCTGCCCCTTGCATCGCAAGCCAATTCTGGCTTCGCGGCCACCCCGAGCTAGGGGCGCGCGCCCTCGACGCCCGAGGCTGCTGCGGTACTGGAGGGGAAAGGTGATAGCGAGCAGCCGATCGATTGCGAACTCCCAGATGCCCCTGCAGCCCCTGCATATGACCCCCAGAAGCTTGCCGATGAGGCCCTTGCCAGAGCAGCCTCGCAGGGCCTAAGGACATCATCATCCCCTACTGCAGCGGGAACAGCATCGTTACTTATTGCAGCGGAACGTCATCGTTATTAACTGCAGCGGGGACATCACCGTTAATTTGCGCAACGAGGACAGCGCCATTACTCACAGCCAAAGGTGCGTTATCATTACCTACGCCTGGTCCCACGTCAAAGGCATACTTGGTGACTGCTGCTTTTGCGCTTGCTACGATGCGCTTGCAACCAAGTTAAAACGTTCAAACCAGCTAAGCATGTTTACGACCACGCATATAGGCAGGTATCCAAAACCTTTTGCTTACAAGAGCGATGGTTTATAAGTTACTTGGGCGCATTTGTGGTTTTTACAGCCTCGACTATAAATAAACTAGTACGCAAACGATGGCAATCTAGCCCCAACTATACGTTTGGTTAGGTTTTGGTTACGTTTTGGTTAGTTTTTCCACAAAAACAAAATGTGTTTTTTACGTTTTTTTTTTTTTTTTTTTTTTATATAAAAAAAACTCCATTTTTCAAAAAAAAAAAAAAAAAAAAAAAGAGAGAGAGAAAACAACGCTTGAGCACCATGTAAAAATTCAACTTTGGCTATATGCGGCGTGCCCTTTTTTAAAGGGCATTTTAGACCATTTTCAGGGGACACGTGTTCTGGCAGGTTGTGCCCTCGGAGCCTTGGTGTCGGGGGGGCACTGTGAAAATCCTCCTTCCTCCTCCTTCCTCCTCCCTCGTCCCGTCCCCCTTCTTCTCCTTCTCCCCCTCCTTTTTCCACCTCCCCCCCCCTTTCCACTTCCTCCTCGCCCTCGCCCCCGTCCTCCGCGAGGCCACAGCGCGGACAGGTTGCCCCCCTGGCGCGGCGCGCCCGCAAGGCCGGAGAAACAAAAACACGCGTGGTTTTTCTTACTGGCTTCAAAACCTCCCGCGACGCCTTCGCCCACTTTTGCGATTGCACGGCATGGCTGGCTGATATAAACAATGACGGACGAAATTGGCGACTGCAGACATCCAGCCACACTGGGTAACTGCAGGGGCGGCCCGCCCCCCGCGCATTACAGTTCCTAATAAGCGGTCGGCCAATTAGGCGTTTAAGAACCGCCATGGTGCACGCAGCCAGCCAGATCGTTCAATCGTGCCCCCTCTTCTTCTCCGCCCCTCCTCGTCCTCTTTTCCCCTCCTCCTCCTCCTTCTCGTCCTCCTCAATTCCGATCAGCCCTCAGGGCTGGGTGGTCTAACCATGCCGTATTTCCTCTTCCAAAAACCCTCATCCCTTCGGGGCGGGGCGCGCCCCCCCCCCTTCACTGTTTTTTGGGTGGGCCGCGAAGGGTATGCAGGAGCTTCCCAGATGGCCCACTATGGCTCCAACAGCGCGCCCGGAGCTGCGAGATGGCCTCCAAGATGGCTCAAGACAGCCGAAGGCGTTTCAAGACAGCTCCCGACATGCCTCCAAGAGGCCCCCGGAGGGCCGCGAAACGGTTCCAGGTGATCTCGGAGCTCTCTCGGGCCCCTCTTCCCAAACGCCCGCATTTTCCGAAAACCGCAGAGAACGTCAATGCTTGTTGCATTCTCGCCGTTTCGCTTTCGATGCGTTTTTGAGGCCTACGGCTCCAAGATTGCCCGAGAGAGCCGCAAGGGCGGCCCCAGACGCTCCTAAGACGGCCCCAAGAGCGCCCACGATCGCCCCTAACACCCCAAGGGCGCTCCAACAGGCTATGCGGATGGCCCAGGGGGGGCGAAGAATCCCACCAGCCCTCTGGGCGTCGGTTGGAGTTTCCTCTTCCACCCCTCCTTTCGGGGAGGGGTTTACCCCTCCCCCTGCCCCCTTCCCTGGACTTGGACGGGCGGTTCGCGAGGTGTCTGGGCGCCCGAAACGGCCTCGGCGAGGAAACCAACAAAAATTGTGCACCATTTTTGCCTCCTGAGGGGGGGGGGGCCTAATTAAAGCTCCCCTCTTGTTTGGTCGATCTCCTCCAAGATGGCCCCAAGAAGCGCCCGGGAGACCCCGAAAGGTTTCAAGATGGCCCCGAGATGGCCCCAAGAGGCGCCCAAGAGGCCTGCAGGAGGCCACCAAAAAGACCCCAAGGGGCCCCTTTCCGAAGCCCCGCCGCGAAGCACCCGAGACCCCGAAGAGCCCCCCAGGATCGCCAAGAGACCCCCAAGACGTCCCAAGAGGCCACCAAGAACCGCCCAAGAGATACCCCAAGAGGCTGGCTCCGAAAGACATCCAAGAGACCTATGGCCCTTGTGCTAGCCCTCCTCCTTTCCTCCTTCTTCCTCCTACTCCTTCTCCTCCCCCTCGTCCTCCTCCTCCTCCGCCTTCTCCTCATCCAAGTCATCCTCCTTCTCCCCACTCCCTCATCCATCCATCCATCCACCTCCTTCTCCTCCTCGCTCCTTTGGACGGCTCGGCCGCCCCACTCTTTGCTGCCGCACTTCCCTGGCCACCTCGACTCGCCTGGACATCGTCTCTGGATGGGTTGGTGGTGGGGATGCGCGGAGCGTCTAGCATTAGGACCCTCCTCCATTGATCGATGGCCTCCAGCATTACCCTGGGGGGGTGCCCCATAGCTCCCAAGAGGGCCCCCAGATAATCACATGGCGGCCCTGGCCTGCCCAGACACCCCAAAAGAACCCCATGGACCCAACGACGCCCCACAGAGCCCCAAGAGGGCCCCCGAGGCCCAAAAGGACCCCGAGACGCCCTCACACTCAAGGAAAAGCTTCATGCTCCAACAAGGCCTCCGATGCTCCAAGATAGCCTCCAAGATGGCTGAGCGCCCTCCTCCCCTCCTCGTCCACCTTCTCCTCCTTGCCTCCCAGTTGCCTCGGCTAACCGCTGCGCGGTCGCTGCGACGGCGATCCGCCCGAAACAACAGACGGGCGCTTCCGGGCCGCACCCTTGGGGCTTTGCCTGGGGTTTGGCTTTCGGCAGCGGCTCCATCAACGCGCGAGGGGTGCTACGGCGCTGGCCCTCTGCCAATGCTAGCTGGAGGTCGTCGAGTCGAACAGCGACGCCTGGCCAGGCCTTGAAATCCAACGTAGATCTCCCCAGCGCGCGCAGCATCGGCCACATCACTGCCATGATGAGGGGGGGCGGGTACGCGTTGCCTGCCGCCTTGATCGCGAGGTTCGGGTATTCCATCATCTCTGCAACGCGCGGGCTGAAGCCTTGCAGTGCCAGCCGTTCAGTGCCTCTCAAGAGTCGGAAATGCTTCCGGTCTCGATCTGGTCGGCGGCGCACAACATCACCCACTGGAAGGACGAAGAGGTACACGCTCCTCGTTGTAAGAGTGGGCGCGCAGTTGACCGAGAAATGGTTCGAAAATATGCCGTCCTCTTTCCGATCAATCGGTATAATGATGATGTCCTCATCTTTGAGGCCCCCTGCGCGGTATTGTGATCGGATGCGCACTTCCTGGTCGATGAGGTTCGCTCTCTGGGAGTGGGTCAGGACAGCACGCTGGTCAGGAGTGAATCGGCCAAGAGCATGTTTGACATCCAAGGTACCGAACGGCGGCAGCGGCGCCGGGAGCGCACCGACGAACTTCTTCAGGATGCCACGCACGAAAACCCGACGTCTGGATTGCGGAATCATGTAAGCCGCCGCCCCAGACATTTGGGGGGACATGCCGCCTCCCCCTCCACGAAAACCTTAAAACTCCTCCTCCTCCTCCTCCTCCTCCTGATCCTCTCCCCTTACTTCTACCCTATGAACCCTCCCATTCTACCTTCTTGTCCTCGTCGCCCTCCCCCTTCCCGCCCCCCTCTTTCTTCCTATTGATTCTCCCCCGTGCCCTCTCTCGCCTCATTATCCTGTTCCTCCTCGGATCGTGGCGACAGCCGCGCGTGTCCCGGGCGTCGAGAATGTCCCAGCCCCAGTGCATCTCCGGGCAAGTCTTGCACAGGATGTCAATGATCCTGGCCCGGGGGGGGGCGGCGGAGGAAGAGCATGAGGGGGGGGGGCGGGGTCGGTTCTGCGAAGAAGAAGGAGAGAGGGGGGGGGGGGGCGGGGGAGGACGAGGTGGAGGAGGAGGAGACAGGAGGAGGATGGTGGTGTTTTTCCTTGCAGCGCCTGTAGATGGCAGCTCCACGGCCGTTCTGTTGGTGCGTCATCCCGACCACGTTTTCGATGATGACCCCGAGTAGCCCTGCAGTGGTCAGGGGGAAGCGAATCCATTGCAAAATCCTGCAGAACACTTGTGCACGAGGGTCTTTCGTGGATTGCCGACTCCCCGTCGTCGACCAGGGTGGGCATGGCTGACCTGCGACGAGAAAATCAACTGGCCTTTGAAGTTGCCGCAACCCCGTCTTGAGCAGGTTCCCCGTTATTTTGCCCAAGTTCAGGTTGACGTCCCCAGTCTCTTCCATAACATGCGCCGAGTACGTGGCGTATCCTGCTTCGAGGTCGAACACGCTGTTATGGACGTGGGGACGTTCATGCAACGTAGGGCTTCGCCACATCCATTTATGCCAACGCATGGCGATGCAACCACCAAGGGCCTCCCTAGATTAGGGAGCTGGTCCACAAAATGATACACATTCGGCGGCATGGGCGTGCAGGCCGCGTCTGCAGCGGCCGCGTCGCTGTGGGCAGTGCCATCGAGGCTCTTCACTAAGGAAAACAAAATCAGCTTCACTAAAACGTTCGGCATGTGGATGCGAAGATGGGGCGCGCTCCTGAAACACGAACCAAAATGGTTGAGCGGAGGGGTTGGAGGTCCAGTGTTCGAGGGTCGAGGATCGAGGTTTCTTTGATCTGCATATCGCATGTTTTGGTTCCTTCTGGGCCCCCGGAGGCTTCCAGAGATGACAAGTGCCGGGCCCCTGAAGAGACGCAAACGATTACGGTTGGACGGGGTCGGGTTCTCGAGGGCATTTGTGGGGGGCCTCTGCAGATGCTTGCAATGGCGGGTAGAGGCAAGGGCGGGGGGCGGGCGGGCCTCGCCTCGCAACGCCGCGCCTCGGGCGGGCGCCAAGAGGGGGGTCAATAAACGCGGGCGCTCGAAGATTGAAT